TATTAATTTTCTTATAAGTTTGTTGTAAGTATTATTACACTTTAAATTTTTTTTACTATGTTTGCACTTGTTTTATGATTTTCAAGGATATGTATTTTTTCCAGGATAGATTTCTCAAAAGTCACGAGTAGATTAATAAATGTTTGTCGTGGTGACTGACTGGCTGTAAGAATGAAGGGGAGCAATCACTTTTTAAACCTGCTTAACTAGGAGAATATCAGTACAACAGTTGGTGGGCAGGGCTTGGGGATGGGGGTTGTACCGGCTGCTCTATCTGATGATACTACCTCTGTTGAAGAAGGGTAGAGTTTTGTGCTGGGGCAGACTCATATTGGTTTACCAGAGCTGATTGCTAATTTTTCAGAAATTTTGTGAGCCAGTTATTAACTATCATTATTTGGAGTTACATTGTATATACATATAATAAAATAATTCTCTTTTAAAAAATAATGAATACTGAAAATTCATCACTTCCTAATTACTTACTACACTTTGTTATTATCTGTGAGTTGTTGATGTCTATTGTATCTGTAAGGTACAAGTATTATGTAAGGGCGTGCTACTGGTCATTTCTTCCTAAATCCACATTCAGTGATATTACATTGGGAACTTAAAGTCAGCCGTGGCAGGAATATTTACACCACGGATTTGGCAAACACTGTATCTATTAGGGCCTTTTGATTTATTGTTTTGTTGATCATCTGAACTTAGGAAAGTGATAGAAAATATGTTCATAAAGCAGATTCAATTTAAAAGTGTATCATGTCTATAGCCATACATTGTAAAGAGCACGGATAATTGAGAAAATATTCTTGCAGTATTTGAAAACTATTATTCAATTCAGCAAAGCAGGAAGGAGCTCATGTCACTGACAATAAGAGAAGTTCTGACATGTGTCTTCATTGTCTCATTTTCATCTCACTTGTTAGCATAAACAAAAGTAAAAACCAACTTTTATATCAGAACTACACTCATTAATTGCAGCCATAGGTTGGGTACAAATATGAGTTGGGCAAAAATCTTTGAAAGATTATGTGAGAATCCACTGGCTATTTGAAATTTATAATATAAAATGTTGTATATTTTATTATTATTTTTAAATTTTGTGTTATGTATCTTTTATATTCATAAAATGTATAATGAACTAAGACTTATGCAAACTCTTCTTTCCCAGTGAGCTGGTTGTTCAGTATTGAACAGCACGTCACGGGTGATCCTGATGGCATGGTGTAAAAATAAAACACTGTGTTTTTCTTTTTTAATATGACCTAGATTGTGCTCTTTCTGAGAGTTAATGCTTGTCTTGAGATATATGCCTGTGTGTCTGATTTGGTGGTTACCTACAGGATGACCAGGAAGGGTCTTTACTCTGCTTTAGTCTTCACCTCACACAAACTGGGGAAGATCCAGTTTATTCTGGACTCTTCTGCAGAAACCTCCATCCACTTCCCACTTGATGGTGGTATTAGTAAGCCTAAATGACTCTTATTTGGGAAAATGGACATTAGGAATTACTGTCCTGGCAGAGTGAAATGTATTGGAGACTTTCTCTGTGCAGGTTTGAAGATGAATTTCCTGAAAGGGACCAGGGCACAGGAAACAAAGCCAGGAATTGGGCGTGTCTACCAGGTGACTCTCTCTGAGAACTGAGTTTGCAGTGGTAACAGAGAGCTTGCTCTCTTCTTCTGAAGTCACATCCTACTTTTGGGGACTAGGCCAGGAGTTTCAGGGGCAAAGTGAGGCAGAGAAGTGGACATGAGGGGCTCACAACTAGATGAGCCAAAACAGATGGGAAAGATGTACACCGCAATGGGAGAAATGGGGAGAGTTTGTAGGAGAGAAGTCTGTAGAGAAGCTGAGAGGAGCCTGCTGTTAGAAGTTTGCATAGTTGGTTGTAGAGGAGCTGAAAGAGGTTTAGATGGAGCAGAGAGAAGGAAGTTCAGCTCAAAAATGTAGATGTGTGTTTTTATATTAAGATCAGCTGTGTCTATGAGGCGAAAGAACCTAGAAGAGCCTTGTGAACATGGCCACTCCTACGTTGGAGGGCGACCATCCCTACCCAGGTCCTTGCTTCCTTGGAAGGAAATGCGTGTCCGGGGGTAGACACTCTCTGGAGAGAGAGAATTGAGAGGATAAGCCCACTGTGGGAAGGGGAAGGGTGTGAGTTCAACAGTGAGTCCTTTCAAAACAACTTAAGAGAGAAGACAAAGTATTGTACTTCAGGGCTGAAGACAGTCAACAATTTGCTTCTTGTAGAACTTTCTTTCCTTGGCTTTCAAGACCTGCTATCCTGATCCCCTGCTGGCTTTTTCCTGACCCACCCAGGAATGAGGAGCAGACCTCCAGTGGCAAGACACATTGCTGACAATTAAATGAATCCTTGGAAGAAAAAAACAGGAATGGCCAGCTAAAACTTCTACTATAAATAAAGGGTTTCAGTTTCACTCTGATTTTGTTTCTTGTAAAATGATGTTGTGAGGAAAAAGATAAACTGTTTGCCCAGTTCGGATTCCAAAACTTTGGGCAGAAGAGGATGCTGATTTTGATTGTGATTTGGGTGGGACATTCCGTGGGGAAAAAGTCACCTCTGTGTGGCTGACAGCCAGGGCTGGCCTCCTTCTTCCGTGCCCTCCCTGCTTCCTCAACCAGAAACCAGGGTAGTTTGGACTGGGTGATGAGCGCCACCTGCAGGTGGAAAACTGGAGAAAACATCTGAATGCTGTTTAACATCTTTAGGGATCAGGCACAAAAGCCTGGTGAACTCTGGCCCATCTCTGGTTCTCTTCATCTCCGAAATTCAGTTTCATTGTGATCGAGAGACAATATATCAGGCCCAGCCCTGCAGGGAGATGCAGCTCTAATTTTGGCAGAGTCTAAGAGACCTCACCACCTCCTTCGCAGAGGAAACAGGATCCATCAGGGGAGGACTCCCACATCTTCCATCAACAGTCATTCAGAACGGCCGCCTTCGGTACTCCATCTCTGCCTTGTTCCTGGTGCAGTGGGGAGTGTCCCCTACCTAAGGCTACTGCCCCCAGGATCCCATCCCACCTTGTCTCACAACCTGTCTCTTCAATTCTTTCACTCCTTTCTATCAACATTTAACCATGCCCAAGACTCTTCCATTTTAAAATTAATTTAAAAATCAGAAAAGAAGTACAACTACTGCCTGATCCTATAGCCCTCCAAGTTGCTGCCTAACTCATTTTCCCCCTTTAGTCACACTTCTGGAAGAGCTGACTTCACTTGTTGCCTCCACTTCCTTCCCTTGTTTTCAGGCCTCTGTCCACTGCCATCTCCATTTCCTGCCCCCTCACTAGGAGACAATACTTGCAAGTCACTAGGAGACAGTACTTACAAGGTCCCCAGCAGTCCAAGGGACACTTGTTTTCTCACCTGATGCATTGGTAGTGTTTGGTTGATAGTCTCTCCTCACCAAAAACATTCTTTTATTATGTGTTAAGAATAACACATTCCTAGCCCCTCGTCTACCCTTCTGGTCTCCCTGGGGGCTCCCATCTGATAAATGTCACTATTATCTAACCCAGCGATTTTCAACCTTTTTCATCCATTCCTACCAGAAGGCTATCATTGTGTTGGCTGTTATAATTTTTTTTTTTTAATTTGACAGTCTAAGGGAAAGGAGGTCAGTGTCCATGACTAAATAGTCAGGTATTGCATGTTTTAAAAATTCTTGTGGCACACTGGTTGAAAATCGCTGATCTAGCCAGTTGCTCAGGCCATCTGTGGGTGACCGTGAAGTCATCCGTAAGCATCTCCTCTTACTCCCCACATCTGTCAGCCAGTCGTGAGCTGTGCCTTCCAGATTAATTTAGAATTCTACCTTAACTCAGAGGATCTTCCGCTGCCAGCACCCTGGTCTTAGCCTCTCCCATCTCTCACCTGGGACAAAACAGTAGCCCAGTTGGTGGCCTCCCTACCGCTACCCTAGCTATCACACAGCAGCCAGAGTGATTATTTACAAGTAAATCACATTATGAAACACCCCTCTTCTCAACTCTCCAAGGTTATCTTGCCCATCATCCTTAAACCTCAGGTTACATATCACCTCCCCATAAATCCTCCCTGAGCCCCTCCCAGCTTATTCCCTGAACACCTTCCTCTAGTCCTTCCAAGAGCATTTATTCCACTCTGTCAGAGCTCCTCTGTGTCCCACGGCTTCCAGAGCTCAGCGGAGGTAGGAACTTGTCAGTCTGTTGAATCCACCCTGGGTGCATGGCACCTTGTAAATATTCCATTAAAAACAAAAAACAAACAAACAAAAAAAACTGTGAATGACCCTCGGCAGGTGGCTCAGTTGGTTGGAACTGTACACCAAAATGTTGCAGGTTCAATTCCCAGTCAGGGCACATACCTAAGATGTGGGTTCAATCTCCATCCCGGCACCTATGGGAGGGAACCAGTGGATGTTCCTGTCTCACATCCATGATTCTTTCTCTCTCAAATCAATGCAAATATCTTCGAGTGAGGATTTAAACAACAGCAGTAACAACAACAATAACAATAACAACAACAACAAACTGTTAATGTACTCTTCTCCCCTCCCAACCCCATTTCTAGATATATAATTTAATTAACAGATCATGGAATAGACTGCACACAAAGGAAAGAAGGTAAAATCCTGACAGTTAATTGATAGAAAGAAGTTCCCAAATGGGCCCCAAACATGCTAAGGAATCACAATTTGATGAGCCATTTTACTTCCTTGTAAAGTGACGGGTGCGGCAAAAATAAAATTTTGTTGGCATGCAGTCTTAGGACCCAAAGATGCTGATTTCACCTGTGGCTTGTGTGAGCGGCAAATAAGACCTGAGCGTAGGTACCCGCTTAGGCCCACATGCCTTTGCTCTGGCCCACTGATAGAAATGAAGATTGGTGATTAATCAGATTCCGGGCTGCTGTTTACAAAAGCAGAACTTAGGTGCAGGGAGATTTCCCAGAAACGAAAGTGAAAGAAGCCAAGTTAACTTTCTAGAGTTGCGGTGGGACTGGCAGCGCTGGCTGCAGAGCTGAGGATGGCTGAGCCCGGCTTCTTCCCGCTGCTGGTCGAGGGGTCCTGGGGCCCCCAGCCGCCGAAGAACTTGAGCGCCAAGTTGCAGATGTACTTCCAGAGCCAGAAGAGATCGGGAGGCGGAGAGTGTGAGGTTCGTCCGAAGCCTGAGAACCCGGCCAGCTTCTTGGTGCTCTTCTGCTCGCAGAACGGTGAGGGCCGCCTGGGGCGGATGTGAGCGGGGACAACCGCTCTCTCCCCGCTGGAGAAACTTGGGACTGGGGTACGCAGCGGGAGAATCCGCCTAACTCCCGCAGCAGCAGTGGGGAGTTACAAAATGAGCCAAGGGTGCGCGGCCCGGGGTGGGGGGTAGCGAGGGAGCTGTCCTGGCAGTTCCCCTGCCCTGCGCTTGCTGGTGCTCAGCGGTGCTGCCCTGAGCTGGCGGGAGAACCGCGCGAGGTATAGAACAGAATCACTGACCTCATTTTACAAGGCGACAAAGTATATTAATGGCAGAGTTGCATCAGTTGAGCTTTTGGTCTTCTGCCTATTAAAGCAGCAGTTTTAGAACCCCCAAGGTTTATGGGAATACGATTTCAAGTGAAGAGAAAGTTTCTAGGGGCAGTATGTCCAAATATATTGAATACTTTAGGGAGATAATTTTGGTTGAAAATACTTCGATTTCTTTTGAGAGACACCATGAAACTCAGACCTTTACTGGGGCGTTCAACCTTTTGGCCTCTCTGGGCCACACTGGAAGAAGAGTTGTCTTGGGTCGCACATTAAATACATTGCTACACGTAATCACAAAAATCTCTCATAATGTTTTAAGTAAATTTATGACTTTGTGTTGGGCTGCATTCATAGCCGTCCTGGGCCGCGCGTGGCCCGTGAGGGGTGGCTTGGACACCCCGGTGGAGTTCCCTGCAGCGTTCTGAGCGAGGACAAGTGAGTCCTTAAACGATGGAAGTCAGTGTCGGGGTGGAAGAAATGCTGGTCTGGACTTGGTAACTGACTCTGTGGGAATGGCCAGTGCTCCTTTTGAGAGGGAAGGAGAGGGAAAGCCCCTTTTCTTTCTGTTAACTTTTAGGTGAGGAAAGAAAGGGGCTAAGCAAGGCGAGGAGAGGTAATGGTTTCCCCCATGGGTCGTGGAGATTCCCAGTGCTTCTGGGGTCAACTGAGACAGGGGCAGAGATGCTGTTTAAAATCACATTGTCTGAGTGAACTAAGGAGAGTTACTGGAGGCGGGGGTGACAGCTTGTTCTTGATGAACACAGTATCTTTGTTGGCAGTCTGGTACTTTGTCCCTTGGTTTCAAGGGTGGCCGTCAGACTGGGTTGACCAAGGTTGGGAGTTTTGAGCTTTTGAGGGGGAAATTCCCTCCTCACAGGAAGTTGAGCAGCTGAGTTCTCCTCTCCTCCCTCTCTCGCTGTTGTTGTTTAAGAAAAGGGGGGAGGACAAATACCTACCAAACATCTGCTTGCTTAAGATCTCCACCAGGTCCTGCACTGGGAGCAACGTGACCACCTGCTCCCAGAGCATGCATTTTTTCCATAGAAATCTCATAGGAAAGGATGTGGACAACCTTGGGTCCTGCTTTCCTGTTGCAGGATTTGAGAATCTTTTGGGCCAGAGGAGAGGCAAGGAGGCTTACAAGACCATGAGAGCAATTGGAAAGCTTAGGCAAAGATCCAGAAATAAAAGATGAAACCCCAAGAGGAAAGGAGTACACAGATAAGTGTGAAGGAAGTGAGGTGGGCAGTGGGGCAGGAGACCCACTTGGCTCAGAACCTTAAGAAAACAAAGTACAAAGTTTTCCAAGAGTTAATTTCACCAAGGAACGCTCAGAAAGGCAACCATGAGATGTAAGTCATTTTCTCAGGGGATGTTACCACTTTGATTACAGCTGTTAACATGACCATGGGTCTGGCCCTTAGGGACGCTTCTTTCTTCTTTAGCATCCCATTACCCTCAGGAGCAGCTCTCAAATTGGGGCCACTGGCCCCCTGCATCCAACTCACCACAGGTTAAACAGACACAGCCCAGCTCTGTCCCCAATAGACTCAGGAACCCTGAGTGTGTGCGGGTGAGAAGGAATCGGCACTTTGAACCAGCACCCAAGGTGACTCCAACGCACTAAAGTTTAAGATGCCAGTTGCCTGGTGTTGACGCTGAATGAACAAAAAGGGAGACAGTTACAGAAAATACAAACAGCATAAAAATGCAATCAGTGCAAAATATAATTTTGTGATGATAACAACATTCTGTTCTAGCGCTCAAAGCAGAACTAGTTTCAGTCTCCTGTGAGGCTTCTTCCTTCACATATTCTACCTATAATTCCCTTCCTCCGCCCCCAGGCTGCTCCAATGTTCCTTTGTGATACCTCCAGCACAGACAACTCAAAACTTAGTGTACTCAAGGACTTATATGGTCAAGGTTCTTGGGAAGGGGAAAGTCCCAGTCAGTTTCGGTTTCCTATCAGAAGAATAGATTTCTCAGCAGCAAATTGCCAGTGAAGGACCTGACCTAGCAGTCCTAGGGCAGATCTCTTACAGGGATACCCGCCCCCTCCACACCAGCAGCGGCCTCAGCAGGTGCAGGCTCATTGTATGATATGGCTGTAGTCCTGTGATTCACATAATAAGAATGAGCCCACCAGCATTTCTCTGTAGAAATTATCCTAGAGCACACACTAAGCGGAGCACTACTTAGAAGCTATATCTTACTTTTACATAGTTCACTGAATTTCTGAAAAGTTGAGTGTAAATCGACTTGGAAGATTTTTAAACCCTGTTTCAGATGTGTACGTTTATCATCCTCCCTGGTCATAATTTGCCTCCTGATTATCATCAGTCTCTTTGGGGTAAGGAAACCTATCTTCTCTTTAAACAAAAGTAAATGTGGAGGGTTTGAGGTTAGTGCAGAAGGGACATGGATCACACGGGTAAGCATGGCTGGGCATCAGAGTTTCAGGTCTTTTTTTTCCCTCCCAGATTCACTTCTGCTTGGTCGGGGAGCACTTACTGATCTTGTTACCTTCCCCACTCTTGAAGTAGTTGTGCCTATATATGTTGCACAGAGAACAGGCTGGCACATTTAAATGCCCCGATGGAGAAAGTCTAGGGAATAATAAAGTAGAAGCATCACAGAGGTGCATGACTTAGAAAACTTAGCTTCCTCTCTGGCTTCAGGGGTCTTATCCAGGCCTCAATCAAGCTTAGGGCAGCCAGCCCATAAGGAGTCTGTGTGAAGACATCTGCCCTCCCATAAAGAGTGAATTAGGGTCCGGCATTTCTTTTCATTTTGTTTCTGGGGGTCTCTTTCATCCAGTTGGCATCCAGTTAACTTTTTTCTCCTCCCTCTTCATGAATGTTGAGGTGGAACATCATTCCACCTCATTTCTCCTCCCTCTTCATGAATGTTGAGGTGGAAAAGCTATTCGAGCCCTTCCTTTTGAAGATTCCTACCTATATCCTTGGCTTCATCAGACCAACCTTATCAGAATACAACATAGTATCCCAGCAGTCCTGGCAGAGCCACACCTGTGAGCAGTAGGGCCCCCTCAAAGGTTCTCCTTCACCCGGACATTTTTGTACCATCTGGCTGTGCCGAGCACACCTCCTTGTCGAAACTCATTCCCTGTCCTCCACAGTCTCCCCCGACATGGGCTTTCCCTTTCTCTCTCTGGCTGCTCTTTCTCATAATTAAAACTTACATTTGCATAGCTCTTATGGATATTAGAAAATTCATTCACAGACCCTCGTTTGCGTGAGGAAACAACTTTATGGGAAGCTAAGGTATCTTCTCAGTGTCACTGTCTAGTTTGTGGCCAAATTGGGATTTAAATCCAGATTTCCTGAATGCTTATGTCTATTGCCCCCTTTTTTTTACTACCTCCCAGCTGCCTGATGTGCTATTATTTTTTTAAAATCTCTTCATCACTTCTCTTCTTCTCCTTTTACTATCAGATGTGAGGCTCTTATCTTCATGAGTTAAAAAATGGATTGGACTAGCTTATGAAGTAGTCGCCTGGCCATTCTGCTCCTGATTACCTGAGTCACCTTCTTAAAACAAGACTCCTCTCATGCCTTGCCCCAGCACCCAGTCTTCTAATTACTTCCTTTTACTTACTACACAATGAATATTGCTCCCTTTCTGAGTGCATACTGAGTACTAGGTACTCTGCTAAATTCTTTATAGTGTTGCTTCAATTTAATCCACGTAACACCACCTTTATTACTGGTAATTATTTATTAATATACAAGAATACAGAGGCTTTGGAACATGCCTAAGGTTAAAAAATAAGTTTAAAGATAGAACTCAAATCCATGTCTGCTTGCTAAACTTTTCCTTTTTTCACCACACAAGGCCTCTCTTGATTGATGACGACAAAGCCTGTGGAAATCATGAAATAATTTTGTGAATAAAGATTGATTGACAATTAACTCTGACTTCCTCGTCCTCCTCCTCCTCCTCTTCCTTCTTCTTCTTCCTCTTCCTTCTTCTCCTCCTCCTCCACCTCCACCTCCACCTTTTCTTCTTTTCTGATATTTCAGTTCGGCAGAAAGTTCTGGAGAGCAAGAACCACGAGTTAGTGTGGCCAGGAAAAGGAACATTTAAGTTAACTGTCCAGCTGCCCCCAGCCCCAGATGAAGTTCATGATGTATCTGAGGGGGAAATTCCAACAAAGGTAAGTAAAAGAGTGAGTGAGAGGGAAGTAGAGTGTTCTTCCAAGGTATGTGGGATGGGAAGCACAATGAGGAAAACCTAGTGGAATGAAAAGTATAAATCAAACTGGAGTGAGAAATGCAACTTACAGATGTGGTGGAATAGGTATGGAATAATGAAAGAGGGACATTTTCTGTTTGATTTCAGACACTTTTTGTTTGATTTGGGAAAAGTCAAGATTTGGGGGTTATAATCAGGGTGGTATGAGATGTAAAATGTTGGGTCTGTTTGTCCTGAGTGCTCTTAACCTGGAACCTGCTATATTTATTTTTACATTGTTTTGAAGGGATAGTGATCCATACTGCATGTGCTAAGTATTTCCTAAAATGCTGTAGTAATAGTGTCTATCTTGTGGGATTGTTGTGAGGATTAGATGAGACAACCTCTGAAAAACAAATAGCACAGTGTTTATTCATAGGAAACACTCAATAAATGTAAAATAGAGAAAAAAATGTAGGTCTTACCCCATACCCTGGACACTTGGTGTTCATTGGGGCTTCTGTTATTTGTGACTCATTTTTACTTATGATTTTTATGCTGAGTAACTGGATGTGCCGTGACACATGGAGTGCATTCAAAAGCATCATTGCCAGACCTTTTTACTATCATTTCTATTGACCCTACACCTCTAGGCCAGTCTCCTGCACATTTTCTTAATGTAAAGAAACTATTAGTAGCTCTGGCCAGGTGGTTCAGTTAGTTGGAGTGTCTGATTTTAAGGATACAAAAGAGGTCAAGATGTTACATTTATCTACCACAGTTTGATCCCTGATGGGGGCATGTATGCAAGATAACCAATCAATGCTTCTCTCTCACGTCGATGTTCTCTCTCTTTCTCCCTTCCTCTTTCTCTAAAACCAATAAATACATTCTCGGGTGAGGATTAAAAAAATAAATTATTACTAATTTATTAATTCCTCTTTATTGTTTCGATTTCAGGAATCCAAGACCAAAGACGATGCCCAAGAACCAGGTAAGGTCTCAGTAGAGATGACAGGCCTTTGCAAGGCAGCTTTGCTTTTATTAAAGATGGCAGAGGTAGATATCATCCTTATCTTCTTTGCCCTACAAGGCAGGGTTTTCTCAACGTGTAGGTGCCTTGGGCTGCATCATCTTCATACTCTCAGCCAGCTGTACAGGGGGTGGACATGGGGTGCCACTTGAACTTTAAGAGCTCAGATCAGAAGGATGGGAACAAGTCTCTATGGGGACTGGGAGACATGGGCAAAGAGGTGCCTGGGAGGTGGTGATGAACCAACCTTCAGAGGCCACTTGCACCCACGGTGCCATTGAGAAGCAAGGACATGACACATCAGTGGGTTCTGTGTGTGGCTAAGTCAGTTTCTGAGCACTGGGTGTGGAAAGTGGAGTCCTCTGGAGTCACAGCAGGAAGGTATGTGTCCTCTGTGGATGAAGGCTTCAGAGTAGGGGGGCGCAAGATGTGGGTACAGCCCTCCAGACCAGCAGTGGCTCTTCTTGTCCCATCTGCTGTAAGAAAGAGCCTGAAACCTAGTAGCTGTTGTGGACTCTGTTGCCTAACTAGTGTCTGGGCTTTGGCCTATATAACACCTGACATTTACTAAAGAAGTGACCAATTGTTGTGGTTAAGCATGCTGTTATAAAGGGGAGGAAGTGAAGGAACATGTAGAATGGCTGATCAAGAGAGATAAAGAGATACTCATATCCAGATTTTAGGGAAAAGAAATTCCAAAAAATGTTTAAATATTTTTCTCTCAAGTTGAAATTGTCTTGAGAACACGTTTAAGTTTTTAAAATGGCACTAGGATGAGAGCCATCTTTACTTGGTAAAGTGACTGGATAGGGATGTATAGATTGTTTTTACCTAACATGAACATATGATTAAACTGGGGAATCTAGTATGCACGGTTTCCTTAAGAAGCTCATGATTCCTTGAGATAGGATTTTTAAAAAATCTTTACCTGGGGATATGTTTAATGCTTTTAAAGAGAGAAGAAGGGAGAGAGGGAGAGAAAAAGAAACATCGATGTGAGAGAAACATTGATCAGTTGCCTCCTATACGCATCCTAACTGGGGATTGAACTTGCAACCTAGGTATGTGCCTTGACTGGGAATTGATCCTGCAGCTTTTTGGTGTATAGGATAATGCTCCAACCAATTGAGCCACCGGTCAGGGCTGAGAGAGGATTTTTTTTTTTTTTTTTTGTCTCTTTAGAGTAATTCCTGCTTTCCATTTTTCAGATATCAGACTAGCTCACCCAGCTCCTCTTGTTCATTGCAACCCCCTAAATCCTTATCTGTTTCTTGGAAGGTAACTTATATGTTGTAGCCTCGAGTTCGGTTTTAGACCAGGAAGTGGTGTTATATTTGTACTTTTATATCTGTACCAATTCCCACATTAAGAGTATAATCAAGTCTGTGCTTCTTATGGTTTCATAGTTTTTACCTAAACTCTGTCTGTACTGATTTGTTAACACTGCTTCAGATTCACTTAAGATCCCAGGTGTATGTGTTCTCAGGGAGAGTCATCCAGCCCCGCTCTACCAATAGACTTCTCCTTGTCCTGGAAATTTTAGACCCATTTATTAGCTTGTTTTTACTTGACCCAGACTCTAACCAGCCAAAACATTGGATTGTCTTCAACTAGATACTTAAGTTGGCCCCTTTAAGAGATGGCAGAGGAGGTCTTTTGTTGAATGGTTGTTCTATACTGAGTTCTGACAATCGCTCTAAGTCTAGAACTCTTGAACTTAATTGGACTGATGTAGACAGTTTTCAGAACTGAGCAAAATGGGGATGGAGGGTGGTTACCTAATAGATCCCATATCTCAGGGATGAGGAGAGCAGAGGACACTGCATCATGGATGCACTAGGCAGGCCTGAAACCCCGAGCTTCAAGTTAAAGATCTATAGTCAGTGGACAGATCAGGGAAAGGTCAATCAGCTAGCCACATTTTTAAAAGGCTCATCACCTTTTAAAAGAAAAGACTAGAATATGTGAAAAGCTTTCACATATGTTGGTCACAGAGACATCAATTTTTTCAAAAGTGTTCCTCATCCATTCTTCCCTCACCCCAGGCCACCATTATTGCGTCACAGATCCAGAATGGCAGGAGTACCCTGCTTGGTCTCTCTCTATCTGATGTCCTCTCCTTAAATCAGACCAGTCCTTTGAGTTGCTGGATATCTGGTCATCTTCACAGAAGCTTTATCTGACTCACCCTTACCACCAATTGCAAGATAAAGTCAAGACCATGTTCTGGATGAAGCTGACTTTCCTGGCCTCATTTCTTACATCGCTGTATACGAGAGCTCCTTGAGCTTCATCAGTCAGATCACCATTTCCTAAATGGTTTAGCACAATCACGGCACTCTGCCTGTACTTCTGTTGCTCATAAGCCTCTCTACTCTGCATTTCTCTACCTAAATTCTACCTACCCTTCAAGATCTACTCAGCTTTCTCATCTTCTCTTAAGCCTTTACAAGTCGGCCCAATCCCTTTGTCTCTTTCTGGAATCCTGGCTTGATTGTTGGTGTTCTTTATTTGGCAGTTAACCAAGCTTTTCTTGTGACAAAGCTTCTAATAATCATGGGGTGATAAAACTATATTGCTGGAAAGGCTCTTACCATTCACTTAGTCAAATACTCTCATTTTATAATTAAGAGGCATGCCCCAAGTCACATGGCTAAAGAGTGGCAGAGTCGGGTTGAACTCTACAGCCTCACTCCCAGGCAGTACTCATTCTGGTTCCTCATACCTGCCCCCATCGAATAATAGTTTATGCTGCTATTGAATTTTTATGTTATTTTTTATTTAGCATCAGTGAGTGTGGTGCCAAATCCAGCACACAGCAGGGATGTTTGTTGGGGTGACCTAACTGCTGTAACAGACAATGCCCCAGATCACCGTAGTTGGCAGCTAGTGTGGTGGGTGGAATCTAGATCTCTTCACACAGCCATTTGGGAATCCAGGCTCCCTCTGTCTTTCGATACCATTATCTTGATATGTGGCCTCTAACGTCACTGCAAGGGAGAGGGGAGATCCATATGAAGGAGACTTGTATTGGCTCTCCTTGGAAGTGGAATTCACCACTTCCACCTGTATTCCATTAGGCACATGAACTCTACCATGGCAATTTAACTGTAGGAAGTCTGGGCAATGTTTCCTAGAAAGGAAACAAAATGGATTTGATGAGCGCATGGCATCTGCCATAATAAACATTTACAAATGTCAGTTCCCTTTCTCATTTGTCTTGAATACCTCTGTTAGAAAATCTGTAAGTCCTTACCAATGTTTTTTGTATGCACCCCTCTTCACATATCCAGCACCTTAAACATAATAAGGACTCCAGTTGAATAGTTGCTCAAAGGAGGTCTAAAGATCATATTGTACCCATCATGTGTCACTGCACTGGGCAAGCATTGAGTGAGACTGACTTTATGCATATGTGTAATTCACTTATGGTCAACAATGGGGAGGAACAAGCTGGCTGGGGTGACTACTAATCAATGAATTTGATGTATACATATATCTCCAGGCCATTTTACCTTCTCTGTATTCCTTTGTCATTCAGTGAAGTATCTATTTTTCTCTTCAGAGATGGGAAGTTATTGTTTTTCAGAGCATAGATGATCCTCATGTTTAGCATCATCAGATAGTCTTGCTCTCCCTCAGTGGTCCAAGAACTAAATCTCCAATTCAGCAAACACTTATTGAGCTTCAAACATATACCATGTGCTAGCAATATAAGGATACATAAACATTTTCCTTGCTTTTTTTGAATCCTTACCCAAGGATAAATTTATTGGGAGAGAGAAAAGGCGGGGGGGAGAGAGAGAGAGAGAGAGAGAGATTGATCTGTTCCCTCCTGTACATGCCCTGACTGGGGATCAAATCCTCAATCTCTGTATGTACCCTAACAGGGAGTCAAAACTACATCCTTTAGGTATATGGGATGATGCTCCAACCACTAAACCACCTGACCAGGATTGTTTCTCGCTTTTGAGAAACTGACTTCAATAATTACAGTATGGTGCTATGTATATGTATGCAGAAACAGGTGTAATAAAATTGAACATCATTATCATTTCATAATTAAAGTAAGCAAAAAGTATCTAAGATCTCTTTTTACTTGAGTTAGCTAAGAGGTTGGAAAGGAAAGAGGACATCGTCTTATGGTAATTTACTTTGCTAAGACCATGGTAGATAATCATAACATTTGACCACTTTTGTATCCCTAAAATCAGATGTGTCAGAAGATATCCCAAGAGAATGTGAAAATATTCCCTCTTTGATTGCCTTTGAAAATATCAAAGAAAATGTGACTGACATCATGTTAATCTTGTTGGTGGAGAACATAAGTGACCTGTCCAGTGATGGTTTTCAAGTGGAAGTAATCAGAGACTTTGAAGTTGCCGTAGTTACCTTCCAAAAATATATAGGTAAGATTAAGTGATGCTCATTTTCAGTTTTCTTTGCACCACACTTTTGGAATTTGGGACATCTAGCTAATGGCATGTTTCTGGAAGTTTGACTCTTTTTAGTAGCTAGTAAGAGGATTCCAGGTTAATATAGATCCTTTTTTATTCGAAAGAGAAACAATTTTGCTTTGGATCCAAATTCTGGCAAGTTTAATGAATTAAACTTTATTATATGAGTTGTGTGTGTTTTTGAGAGAGACAGAGACACAGGGAAAGAGAGAGAAACAGCACACCCAAAAAGAAATCGAAGGTTATTAAAAGTCCAAGGTTACTAAAGTGATTGCATGAGTCAGCATTTTCACATGTGTTACCTCATTATGAGAAGTAAATATTGGTGTTACCAAACTGGACTTGAAAGTAAAAAAATAATAATAGCAAACACTTACATAGTGTTACTGTAAGTCAGGTACTATGCTGAGCTTTTTACGTGTATTGATTGATTTGTTCCTTTCAACAACATTTTGAGACTATTACTATTATCTGTCATTACACTTGAGGAGACAGAGGTGTAGAGATGCTAATAAGTGGATGAACTGGATGTGAACCCAGCTGCATACCTCTGTACAGCCTGCTGTTGTATCCCCTTTACCATGTATCTTCTTCGTACTTTCATGGTCATCCACATATGCAGCGAGAGTAAATGCACGTGATGCAGAAAATGAGTGCTCTTTGAGGTCTGGGGGAGGAAGTTGTGGGTTGGAAGAGCCATCTCCAGAAAATATAAGGAAATTTTCCAATTCCAAGTCTCACTATGCCAGAGCTATGGCAGTCAATTGGTTAATTAAGAGCACAGGTCATAAAGTCAGAATTCTAGCCTCATCATTCAGCTACTTATTTGAGATTGGCCAAGTTACTATCCTATGTGTGCTTTACTTTCCTCACCTCTAACATGAGGATAATAATTTGTACCTGATACAGTTTCTGTGAAGATTAAATGAAATAATGTTGAAAAGCTCTTAACATAGTGCCGGAAACATGGTAAAGAATCAATGCAGGGAGCTATTCTTATTTTCAAATTTATGATGATTTCTTATAAAGGGAAAACTAAACGGACTTGCTTTTATTCACTGATTGAAATTCTTGAATTCTCCAGGTGCTGTGGGTACAGAGATGAATAATTCTTGGTCCCTGCTCTTGAGGAGCTGATAGGGGGCAGGGAGGAAACCCACACATAAATGAGTAATGAGGATGAAGAGGAGAAGCTGCCTCCCTGGGCTATGAACAGCAGGCGGTGGGGAATGGGAGGAAAGGGCACCTGAACAAGGGAGCTTGGCTTTGCCCTGCCTACTCCCTTCAGTGAAGTTCAGACTCCAGCTGTACCAGTCTGTCAGGTCTCAAATATACTTCTTGCCCCTGCTGTTTCCTCTGCCTGAAATGTTTCACCATGATGGGCCCATCATCAATATTTATTTATTTGAAAGAGAAAATTGGGCCAAGTCCCAAAGGAGAAATAGGACCAAAATAAAAAATTGGAGAAGGGCATTTCAGACACAGGAAATTATATATACAAAGGCAAAAGAGCATGGCTTTTCAAAATAATGAGTGGTTTCTGTGGCAATGTGGAAAACAAAATGAATGGCAGGGAATAACCAGAGGTGATATTTGGAAGTTAGTTTGGAGTCAAATAGCAAAGGGCATTGCAAGCCTAGCTAAAGGGTGTGAACTCATGCCTTCGGGTAATGGGGAGCCTTTGAAGGACTGGATAAAGGGGTGAAATGAGATTCGTGTGGTAGAGAACGTACTCAGGTAGCTGTGTCAAGGAGGGTTGGAGAGGGCTGTGGACGGAGGTAGGGACACAGCTCAGGTGCAGTGATCCTGGTAAGATGAATGTTGTTCAGAGACTGGGAATTTTATGCACGTGCTTTCTCATTTAGGAGTTGAAAACTTGCATCTAAACAGTGAGTGCTTAGCTCTTCCCTTTAGTTAATATTGCCTTCCCTCAGTTAATATTTGGACAGTTTTTTCTATATAATATAAAGATAGAATCATAATTTTCTAATTGATTGATTTTGGTTTGAAGATCCTGTTAAATTTGTTGATGATTGTGCCATGCACCCGTTGGTGAAACAGCTTCAGCTTTCTCCAAGACTTCTGGAAGTGACAAAAAAGATCAGGGTCGAAAACCTGCCGCCTGGGATTGACAACTATAATTTGAAATGTTTTTTTGAAAATCCTCAAAATGGAGGGGGAAGAGTTGTCAATGTTGAATATTTTCCCGAAGAGAGTTCAGCACTGATTGAATTTTTCGACAGAAAAGGTAATTTCTACCAGCCTGATTTTGTAAACCTTACTGAGCATAACTTAAACTATGTTAGCAGACCTTAACAGTTATCAGTTGAATTCTGATGTATTTTATTAATATTTCTCATTGATATATTTCATTGGTAATCCAATTAGGAATCTTGTTCATCTGGCATATGATGCTTAATGTGTCCAGTGATTCAAACTTTAGAGAAGTAATGTCAGGTTTTTGAAAGATATAAAGAGATTTTCTCATGAGTTTCTAACTATGATGAATTAAAAAATATATAATTCTTAAAATCCTGGAAATATTGTATTAAAAAAGAGATATGTTTTAGCTATACACTTGGTAGAAATTCTTAAATTCATTTCCACAAGGTTAGGTAAAGAAATAGAAACACATACAGCTCCTAGAGAGTGTCACTACTTCCTCTCTCACCTCATCAGTGTCATCATTCAGAAATTAATAGGGGTGATTTCATATGATCAGTGGATGCCTGCTGCATTGCTCTTTGCTGGGACCCTGAGAAGACCGTGCCCAGTTGAACCTTAAGCAAATGCTTCTGAGGGTTTTGTAGACATAGACTGCCAGTTCTCTGAGGCATGTGCAAAGTCAGCTTGGGGATTCAATTGATGTTTAGAGGTTAAGGCTGAGAAGTAAGAATTACTCCTTGTTAGACTTGCTAGAAAAAGAAGGAACATTGTGCTTGGTATTAACTGGGGGAGCATGAGACAGAATCAGGTGATATGCCACCCACTTACAATAAATTGTTTCGTAGGGTACTTGGAGGAAACTCTGTTCAGCTTTTTTAAATTGGAGAAAATAGGGTGAGGGTATGGTTTAGATTAAAAGGGAATGAAAGACCTAGTGTTCCTTGGGCACAGGAGCAAAAGAGGAATTTCTGTCGCTTTTTAAAAATCTCCCTCAGCCTAATCTTGGCGTCAGGTAGAGAGCCACACAAAACTGTCTATTCTAGAAGTTAACTCCCAGCTAATAGTGGGAGTCGACAACTTTGGGACTTTTGAACATTTGGAGGGCATGGGGCAGTTGCATATGTCCTCAGGATGTCTAGTTACATGTGTACTACTAAAAATAGGAACTATTTGATTAAGATTTATTTCATACCAGAGCTACACCTGGGCATAGTAGGGCCCTCTAAAACGTTCCATTTCACCTGACTTTTTTGCTTCATCTGCTATGTTGGCCATGCCTTCTCCTCTACCCTCACTCATTCCCTGTACTCCAGGGTCTGAGATACAATGACTTTCCCTTTCTCTGGATATTTGCAGCTCTGCAGTGTGCTACAAAGTGCATTTATAGACATTGCTGTCTAGGCATTGCTATTATTGTAATCCTTATTTTATAGATAGAGAGCAGTATGACAGCTGAGGGGGTGGAGGGATCAAGCAAAAAGGAAAAAGGACTCATGGACATGGACACAGTGTGGTGATGGGCGGGGCAGGGGGCGGGGGGAAGGGAGTGTCAAAGAATAAAAGGCCAATGAATGAAGAAACTTAGGGACAGAAAGATCAAATAATTTGACAAAGGTTGCACTCTTAGTGTAACTAGGTACTGTCCCAGTAAAAGTGGCAGGAGGTGGATTGTAGCAGGGACGGGGGAGGCGAGTCAGTCTCCGGGCTGAGCTCTTTGATGACTCTGAGGATGACCTTGGTTTGGATCCCTGGTCGAAGGGTGAGAGCATGGGCTTTGGGGTCAGATACTGGCCTGAATCTTAGATATTTACAGTACATGACCCCTGTTCAAGTTATGTAATCTTTACCAGTCTAAGTTTTATCATTTGTAAATAGTGATTATAATAATAGTATCTCTACCTCAAATGGTTGTGGTGAAGATTAAATTAATTAAACATGTGTAAAGTACTTAGACTAGTGTCTGACACATGGTAAGCTATGATAATAATTAGTATGCTCCTCCCCTGAGAAGTATTAATGGAATCTAAGTCACCTGTGAAGCCTAAAATTGTGAGAAGTACAAGAAACAGCAAATAGCATGATTCTTACACAAGCTTCGCTTTGAATGCCAAAATATTCTTTACATCGAGGCAAGCATTATCCCCATGCTTGTGACCAAAGTTATATCTATTTCTTAACCTGGTGGTGATCTGTCAGTGTTGTCAGAAAAACAAAAAATAGAATTTATGTAACAGAATTTCGACATAGAATGATCTTAGCTGGAAAGTAATTATCTCATTAAACAAGGGATACCTATGCAGTGTTAATATGTATCATTTATATGTGAGCACTTTGAGAGTAACTGCTTTTTAACACCATGTTGCAACATCACAGTTCTACAAACATTAGGATTTCCCCTCCCTCTAGAATAGGAAAGATTTTTGTTTATTTGTTTGTTTTCATTTGAAACCTATTACTCTGGGATTACTTTATTTCATTTCTTTCCTTTTAAGTGTTAGACACCATCATGACCAAGAAACTTGATTTCAATAATATGCCGCTCTCTGTGTTTCCATACTATACATCTTTGGGCACAGCTTTGTATGGAAAGGAGAAGCCTCTGATCAAGCTTCCAGCACCATTTAGAGAACCTTTGGATCCTTCTTTATGGAAGTTCTTACACAAAAAGAATCACTTGATTGAGGAGATAAATGAAGAAGTGAGAGGTTGCCACTGTGAGCTAACATGGTCCCAACTCAATGGTGAAGTTACCGTCCGACCTGCAGCCACCTTAGTCAAACAAGGAAGAAAAGGAATCAAGAACTGGAAGAAAGATGCTTCCACAGTGTTCTGTGGCATCAGGTCTAGATATAAAGTTACCCCGTTTAAAGTGGACCCAGTAGTGTGGGACACCATAAAAAACGATATAGAAGATGAAAGACTTTTGATTGAGTTTAATACAATTACGGAGACTGTAACTTTAGCAGGGAAATCAGAGGATGTGCAAAACATTGAGCCACAAATCAAGGAATTAATAGAAAACACCATTCAAAAAATTAAAAGAGAAGAGCAAAGTCTGAAGGAAAAAGTGGCCATTTCTCCAGCAAAGTATTCTCTTTTGCTCTGCAGCGGTGTTAAGGAGCGCCTCCACACAGAGTACCCAGAGCTGGAGATTTTTTATGATGAAGCCACTCAACACATGTGCTTTAAGGGACTCGGTGTAGATGTGTATAAAGTAAAGTGTGAAATCCAGGAAAAGGTGTACACCATGGCTCAGAAACGCATTCAGCTTCCCCATGAGGTTTTCCAGTTTTTGCAGCAGGTCAGCTGTGCAGAATTCTCTAAGTCTTTTTTCATAGCACAGAAAATCCTTGCAGTTTATGAGCTAGAGGATACAAGTGTTCTCTTAACCAGCTATTCTTCTGAAGTCCTGCTAGAAGCTGAAAAGCAAATGGGCAGTGCCTTATGTTATAAGTGCATAGACATTGAAGACAGGGAAGTTCTTAATGGTAAGAAGTGGAAAATGATCACTAGCAATTTGCTTAAGAAACATAATTCCTCTTCAAAGACTGTAATAATCAGTGACTTAACTTCAGAAACCACACCTGAGGTCATTATTGCAGGCTGTGTGAAAGAAGTACATGAGATCTACAGCATCCTTTCTGACTTTGTGGGAAAAAACATGAAAATAGAGAGATTTTTAGCAATAAATTCTCCCTTAGTTATTGATTATTTAAAGGCAGAGAAGAAGCTGTTCTTACAAAAGATGAAGCTAAAGAAGATAAATGTTCAGGTGGATTTCAATCCTGGGAGAGAACCAAAAGGCATTTTACTCACAGGCTCAAAGGCCGAAGTCCTGGAGGGAATGGACATCCTCAAGGAGGCCAGGGATTCAGTTTGTGTTAAAAGCGTCTGTATTGATAAGCCAGGAGCCAGCCAGTTATTCCTGGATAGTCCATGGTATTATAGACGTGAGGTACGGTTACTTGGCTGTTTTGTGGAACTACTGCAGAATAAAGAAAGGGAGGGAGGTGGCGCTGATGGGCAGAAGTGCTTATCTCGGACAGTTTTGGCCCCCGGAGTCTCTCTGATGGTACAGCAAGGCAACCTGACACAGTTTCCTGTTGAAGTGGTGGTGAATGCGGCAAATGAGGACCTCCGGCACAATGGGGGCCTTGCCGCTGCCCTTTCCAAAGCAGCTGGCCCCGAGCTCCAGGCAGACTGTGATCAGATAGTGAAGAAAAAAGGCATGATCCCACCTGGCCATGCCACTGTCTCAAAAGCAGGAAAGCTCCCGTATCGCCAGGTCATCCACGCAGTCGGACCCAGGTGGAAGAGGGATGATGCCCTGGGGTGTGCGCTCCAGTTAAGGAAAGCTGTGAAGAAAAGCCTCCATTTGGCCGAAAAACTCCAGTACCGATCCATAGCCATCCCTGCCATTAGTTCTGGAGAATTTGGCTTTCCCTTATCTCAGTGTGTGGAGACCATTGTTTTGGCAGTCAAAGAAACCTACCAGTATAACTGGGATGGACACACCTTGAAAGAGATTTACCTTGTGGATACATCTGAGAAGACTGTTGAGGCCTTTGCCAAAGCGGTGCAAACTGTATTTAAAAACACCATGCCTGGTACTACCTCCCAGCCCAGTTTACCGGCCGCGGTCCAGCCAGCCCTGAGAAAAGATGACGGAAGGAGACCGATGCTGTTGTGCCCAGGCGGCCTGAGGATCCTGCTGGTGAAAGAAGAGGTGCAGAATGCTACGGTTAGTGTCCCCCGTTACAGAGCGCCCACCGAGGTGCTGCGACTCCAGGGAGTCTGTTGCCAAAGGAAGATTAGGATCAGGGGAGAATTAAGGGAGAGAGTCCCGTGCCCTCCATCCCGGCCTGGACACGGGTTTCCTTAGAAAATTGGGCTACTTCGCCACAGCATTTACTGATAGAGATTGGCTAGTTTTGTGTGGGAACTGGCAGTGTATGCAGATCGCTAGGTTTCCAGTAAATATGAAAATCCATGGTAATAGCTTACAGTTAAAAGGCTCTCTCTACTTATTCAGTGCCTTCACACCTGTCATATTATAGCAAATCTAAGGTTAATTTCCTAACAAATTTACTGATAGCAGATACAGAAAAATTAGAGCGCAGAGTGGGGACACAAGAAAGGAATCTTGTCAATGAGGCTGAACCAGATTGAGTAGGGAGGCCTGAGTCTGCAGGACCATCAGCACCCAACACCAGTAAGAGAATTTGGGAAGGGAAGTAGAGGCTGGACCTGGGAAGGGTCTGCGTACTATGTGGGGACAATCCTTATGGGTATGCCAGAGGGTGATGTGTTTTTTAAAAAAATGTATTTAACGGCCTTTTCAACACGGGCTCGATGTGATAGGAGCAGCAGCTCTAGGGGGTTGTGGGCAGGCCCAGGGAAGGGATTCTTAGGGAAGGCCATCAGCCTATCTTCTTTGGATAAATATCTAATCAGGTCCTTTGCCCACTTTTAAATTGGGTGATCTTTTCATTACTGAATTTTAAAAGTTCCTTATATATTTTGGATACAGGTCCCTTAGCTGACATATGATTTGCAAATATTTTTTCCATTTTGTGGGTCATTCTCCTTAAGCTTAAATAATAATTACAAGAACAATAGCTGTCCTGGCCAGTGAGACTCACTCTCCTACACCGAAAGGTTTTGGGTTCAGTTCCACGTCAGGGCTCACACCTAGGTCGCGGGTTTAACCCCCAGCCAGGACATGCACGGGAAGCAACTAATCAATGTTTCTCTCTCACATGGATGTTTCTTTCCTCCCATCCCTCCCCTCCCTTCTCTTCTCCTCTCTCTCTTCCTTTCTCTAAAAGCGATGAAAAAAATGTCCGCGGGTGAGGATAAAAAAAAAATAGCTAACATTGATTATTTACTATGTGCAAGGCACTGTGCTAAGTGCTTGGCTTGTATTTTCTCATTCAGTGCCATGAGGCAGATTCCAGGATAATTATTCTTCTCAAACAGATGAAGGAATGAGACTTAGAGGGGTTAAGTAATTTGCCAAAGTCCCACAGCTAACAAATGGTAGAGCCAGGATTGGAATTTGCTCAGGTTCTTAACCATTGCATTATTTCAAAAATATTAAAAATAATTTTGTTTCTCATTTGAGAAACCAGACAAACAAGAAACTCTTTTGACTGTGAGTCTATAATTGGAATGAGTTCAGTTCCCCTTCCATCTTGAACATTGAATAAATACTAAGACACTCCTTCCATTCATTTTACTTCCATAGAGGTTTGGCTCCCAATGCCACAGTACCTGCTGGGTGTTGCTTCTCGTTGGCCCATGCAGGGCAGCTTTGAAAATGACTTGGTCACATTCCTTCTCCTGTCTTCTCTTGGTACTTTAATCTAGCTGATCAATCTGCTCATGTTAACTGTCCTGCTAAAAAGCTTGCCTGGCTCTTCACTGTCTGTCAGGAAGTCCACTTGGCCTAGCACTTGAGATCCTCTGCAGACTTTTCCCCAGTGTATCATTTCTAGCCTCTCCTCAGTGTGTCATTTCTAGCCTGGCTTGCATCATTTTGCCCCAGAAGCTCTCTATCAGGTCAAACAGATCTGCTCACAGCTCACAACCTACCATGAATTTGTTCCCTTTTCTGAATGGCTTCCCTGTCTTTCTCCGCCTGCTGCAACTATTCCCACTTTTAGGACCCCATATCACTCACGGTGTTTCAACTGGCCACCAAAGGCATTTCCTCTGGACTCCTTCATCGATCCCATACCATTATATATTGTTTTGTTTTGTTTTGTTTTTTACAGCTTGCTTTTGTCCTGAAACATAATTTACTTATTTTTTTAAAGTTGTTTTTTTTAAAAGATTTTATGTATTTATTTTTAGAAAGAGGGAAGGGGAGGGAAAAAGAGAGGGAGAGAAACATCGATGTGAGAGAGAAACACCTATCTTCACACACCCCCAGCTGGGGGCCTGGCCTGCAACCCAGGCATGTGCCCTGACTGGGAATCGAACCCACAACCTTTAGGTTCACAGGCTGGCACTCAATGCACTGAGCCTCATCAGCCAGGGCCTGAAGTGTAATTTAAATAAGTGTCTAATAGTACTTTGTCTTGAGTGGCATTTCAGTCTCTGAAAACTTAATCACCTTAGTTGTTTCCCATTGTGCCAAGCCCAGTGGCTAAAATATAGTAATCCTTGATGAATGGTTTTCCTTGGAATTTGAAACAAATTGTTGTTTTTGTCTTTAAGACTGATGTTGTCGTCAACTCCATTTCTTGCGATCTTGAGCTTAATCAAGGGCCCCTTTCTCAGTCCCTCTTGGAAAAAGCTGGGCCAGATCTCCAGAAGGAATTGCACAGAACTGAACAAGTGTTCCCTGTTGATGTGGGCACGGTTCTCCAAACCAGTGGTTGCAATCTGCATTGCCACCGAGTGCTCCATGTGGTGGCTCCGCAATGGAACAACACGTCTTCATGCAAGGTGGGGCCTGGTTTTAAATTCTCCAGGAATTGGGTACCTTTTTGGACTCCTGTCAGTATAATGTAGATTGGACCCTGTCTGTTTCTCTCCTATAATAACTTCACATTATTGGCAGATTCCATCATTATGGCCCTTTTGTCAGCTGTAGCTGATTTCTTGTGAAAGCTAGTTAATAAAAATTGATTATAGTGCTCAATCATAATTGGGCCTCAGGGAAGAGTTATTGAAGATAATACATCTTTAGTGAGGAAGGCAAAGCGAGGGCATGAGGAATGGAAGAGCACAAGGGATTAGAACAGTAAAGACTTTGCTTCTTTCCTTCACTTCTAAGTGAGTTTGACTCTTTTGGGAGGGGTTCTCACATTCTCTTTTCCTTTTCTTGTGTCCTTTTTTCCTCTTCTGACTGCCCTTAGCCTGCCTTTTGTTGAAAGCAAGAAGAAAGAAGAAGTGTACAAAGATCACAAGGTTGATAAGTTCTTTTTTTTTGGTCATAACTCCTATTTCTAGGCAAAATGTATGAGGATGTGCTCTGTATTTTTCAGATCATGGAAGACATAATCAGAAAATGTTTGGAAATTACCGAAAACTTGTCCTTAAAATCAATTGCATTTCCAGCCATAGGAACGGGCAATTTGGGGTTTCCTAAAGATGTTTTTGCCGAATTAATCATTTCAGAAGTGTTCAAATTTAGTAGCAACAATCAACCAACAGCTTTACAAGAGGTTTACTTTCTACTGCACCCAAATGACCACGCTAATATTCAGGTACAGCCTCACTCATTTCTGGTTATTTTGGCAATTTGAGCCCCAATGGTATCCAATGTCTTCGTCACCTAATGGGTTGTTTCTTTCATGTATTTCCTATACAGAAAAGTAAAAAGAGCACTGTAGACTAGTTGTACCATGACAAACTTCAAGAGAATGTGTGGATATAGAAAAAATTTTAACTTCTAATTAAGGAAAATTTCAAACATACACAAAGGTAGACAAAATATTATATAGTATAATAAACTCCCTTCTACCCATCACTCATCCTCACAATTATCAACTTATGGCTACTATGTTTTATCTCTATCTTCATTTATTTCTCCTTTTCTCCTATTATTTTGAAGCAAATCCCAGGTATACATTTTACCCATAAACAATTCAGTATTTTATTTTAAAAAGTAACATAACCACAGTACTATTTCACACATAAAAGAAATTGACAATCATTCCTTTATTTCATCAATTATCAAGTCAGTGTTCAAATTGCCAACTATCTCATAAATTTTTTAAAAAATATTTAATTTATTTATTTTTAGAGAGAGGGGAAGTGAGGAGAAAGAGAGGGAGAGAAACATCAGTGTGTGGTTGCCTCTCACGTGCTGCCCACTGGGTACGTGGCCCACAACCCAGGCATGTGCCCTGACTGGGAATCGAACTGGTGACCCCTTGGTTTGCAGACTGGCATTCAACCCACTGAGCCACATCAGCCAGGGCAAATGTTCTGTTTTTACAGCTTATTTGTTTGAATTAGAATCCAGATAAAGCTTATATATTGCAATGGAGTTGAGATATCCTTAATTCTTTTTTAATCGCTAGGATCCCCTTCCGTATAAACATAGAAATTCTTATACATAATGTGAAAGCACAGTTGTGGTCCTACAATAGGAGATTGTCAGGATGAAATACAACTGAAGGGTGTAGTTAGAACGAACTCAGCACATCCCTATGGGAATAGAAGAGGTGGGACCAGAAGTACTAGAACCATCATCAGTCACAGAGTCCATTGACCAGCTCACATTTGATGAATGTCAGCTATGGGAGAGCCATCGGATTCTATTATGGGAGAACAAGAGGTATTTAATGAGGCCATTATCCCTGCCCTCCAAGTGTTTGCAGTCCAGTAGAGTAAATGACATTAAATGTTTGGAAAGTTCCGTGGCAGTGCAGAAATTAAACAAATAGATTAGGCCAGCAACCCAGGAGATATCCATGGATCATTGGACTCTCTGAATTTTTAGGTCATGCTTAATTTTTTTTTTCTAGATCTAAATTCTACCTTTAAGTTCTTTGGGGGCAAAAAAAATCCTAAATCTAAATTCTAACCAGACAGTCAAACCACATGAGCAAAATCTGTGGCCCATTTAGTTGCTCCATAACTATAGTAACTTCTAGTCAATAAATGCTTTCTGAAGAACCTCCCTATGGCTTGCATAATTCAAGGTGATGTGGAACATGGAATGGGTATGTAGTACTTATACTTCTCCTCTTGTAAATATCATTACTTTGGGAGCTAAGGTTTATACATAAAATGAACACAATCAGAGAAAAACTGCTGAGTGCTTTTGAGTGGGTGAATAGGGGAGTGAGTCCAATGACATGGACCTGAACCTTCAAATTCCACTATTTCTGTAACCCCAGATTCTGTTTTCTTTCCCAAAGACTCAGGATCCTCTACAAGTATTCTGTGGAAGGCTAAAAGGTCACCTTTACTGCCACTGGGAAGAGAGTATTGATTCTCCATACATGGCTGTGACACTTTTTCTCTTAAGACTGTTAGAGACAGTTAAATTTTTTTATTTGCGCTCACAAAAAAACTTATTGAGATGTTTATTGGTGGACACTAACAAAGGTTGGAAAACAGAAGCCCGTGGTCGGAACATGGCCTCTAGATGTGCTTTATTTGGGCTGGTTTAAAAAACATTTGAATCAGTTGCTAATACTTAAAAATCAAACATTTCACATAAACTCCTAATGTTCACTGCGACCTAAAACTTCAAATGTTCTGGCACATTGGACATGGATTTCTGCCTGAGCAATTTGCTGTGGCCTAGTGGCAGGCGCTGAGCAGTCCTCCAGGGCCGCAGCCGCCCACTTTCCACTTGCGGCCCACCTGCCTGGCCCCTGGAGGCCTGTGAGTGCCACTCCTTGGCTCTGTGGTCTCCCCCGGTCCCTCTCCCTTTATTGCATCAGCCTTTTAGCCAAGATGTTACGTTTTTAACCAACAGAGTTCTCTGTTGCTTGTTTACAAGGAGGAAGAAAGTGATGATTTTGGGGTGTTACCATCATGCATAGAAGTGGAATTCACGGGTTCTTTGACCCTAAAATACAGCCTCTTGCTGCAAAATGCACTACTCCCCTAGCCATTCCTCTCCTGTACAAATAAGAAGTTAAAAATTAGTGTTTGGGTCCTTGTGATTGCCTTTCTCTTAACATTGTATTTTTAACAACTGGCGAGCTATTTGCTCTTACTGATTATGAAAGTAATACATATTCATTGGAGAAGCTTTGAACAATACAAAATGCATACATTCATTTAGTCATTTCATTCTAGCCTTCTCTACGTGTGTACTTTATAAGGTGTTGTCATATAATTAAAGTTGTTCTTTCATTTACTAGTGTAAAGTGAGTATTTCCCTATTCCATTAACTGTTCTTTGAAAATGTACTTCTTAATGGTTGCTAAATATTTTAACAAATGGATATACGAAAATTTATTTAACGAGTTCCCTACTGGATTTTAAACTGTTTCTTTTTTTTCTTGATTATAAATAGCTCTGTAATGAATATTTTTGTATTTATATCTTTGTTTTTATCTTTGATAATTTTCATGAGATGCATTTGTAGAAATAATATATGTATTTTTGTAGTTTTAAAAACCTATAATGATAACAAACAATACTTTGAGAGTTGTTCTCTCCTAAATATTTGTGGGTGCAGGGTCAAAAGCTGTGATGAATCAAATTCCTCCATCTACAGAGGACCATAGTAGCCAAAACTGTCTTTGTAATTCCAGGCATTTTCAAATGAATTTGACAGAAGGGCTAATGGAAATTTCATCAGTGACAAAATTCCCAAGGCTGAGAATACACAAGGTTCAGTAAAGATTTCTTTTTTCATTTTTATTTTATTCTTTTTTTGTTCTTTTTTGTTCATTGTTTCTTTGGGGGTTCAGTATAGATTTTACATTGAGAAATTATTTCTAATCACCAAATAGCTATTTAACAATAAGTGAAAGATGATAGTGATGATTTTTATGAAAAATCATTTTGTGATAAAGATGATATTAAATTATATTCCGTACACTTGAGCATGCAAGACATTGGCCATGTTTGTGTGATCTGGAATGGAAGAATAAGCAGGCCAAGTTAGATAATCTGTGCAATAGGTTTTTAAGTAGTGATGGGGCCACTGTTTTCTAGGGATGATGGGACATGTGTTTTTGGAAATGGACACATTTAAAGAGACAATACCAACCAAATGCTTCTTCTCTGTCAAATTTGCTGTTACCTACTTGACTTTATCCTATTTGGAGTTAGCCGAGACTTCTTGAACCTGAATATGTATGCCTTCCATCAAATTTGAGAATTTTTCAGTCATTTCTTCAAACATTTTTCCTGCACTGGACTCTTTCCTTTCCTTCTGCACTCCAGTAACATGAATGTTAAGCTTTTTGATAGTGTCCTATCAGTCCCTGAGAATCTGTTCTTTTTTTTCAATCTTTTTTTCAGATTAGCTAATTTTTATTGATCTCCCTGCAAGTTCGCTGACTTGTTTCTCTGTCTACTGTACTAGTGAGCCTATCCAGTGAATTTTTTTATATTTCAGATATGTTTAAGTTCTAAAATGTCCATTTGATTCTTTATATTTCTCTGCAGAGACTCCTGTTTTTCCATTTGTTCAAAATCATTTCTGTTCATTCAAATATGTTAACTTTGACCTCAGGGAGCATATTTATAGTAGATACTTTTAAGTCTTTGTCTGATAATTCCAACATCTGGATCATCTTGAGATTAGCATGTGTATTGAGTATCTTTATCATTGAGAACTAATCACATTTTCTTGGTTCTTTATGTGACAAGCATGTCTGAATTATAGGCTGGTTATTTTAATTATTATGTTATAAAACTTGGATCTTGTTAAAATCCTCTGGAAAATGGTGGTAGTGCAGGCAGTCAGTTGGTTAAGTTTATTCAAACGGTTTTGTCGCACCTTGTGGGTGGGTAGCAGTTGCAATGTCACTGAAGTTCTCAAAGCCTTCGCTATGCTTCTTGGGACTGTTCCCACATGTGCAGCTCCAAGGTGGGCTCAGGATTTATTCCAGTTCACAACAGAAGAGGGGATCGCCTTTTCCAGGACTCCCTTCACACTCTCTGGCTTGCAGGGGCCCATTTTCCAGCCTCTTGCCAGAGAGACAGTGCTCTCTTGGAGTTTAAGCTGCCTGTTCCATTGCTTCATAACGTTGTCTGATCCAGGTTACTCTCGGGTAAAGTGGAGAGAGAAAGATAACAGAGATTTCCCACATATCCATATATACTTTTCAGACCACAAGGGCCCTTTTTTCCTGATTCTTCTGGGCTGAAATACAGAATGTCTCTCAGAGTTTTAGCTCCCTGTGGTGCCACCATTGTGTTCTGCAACTGGGGTCTCCTTGGGAGTAGGACCTGGATTAACAAATAATTAATAAGGAAAAAAAGGAAGATGGCTGCCATATTCTTCAGTTCCCAGGACCCCCTTTTCTCAGTCCTCCAGTCACAAAGATGGGGATCCTCTGAGAGTTTTGCTACCTGTGCTCATTGTGCGATTCCACAACTAAGGCCATCCTTGGGTCAAAGCTGGGAGGGAAAAGAGGAAACATTTCAAAACAAAACTCCCCTTTGTACAGTTTGCCTTTTCAGCTTTTGACTGCGGTCCCCAATTTGCCTGCTGTTGTTTACTTTTCAGAACACAGTTAGGGACCTTTTGTGTCTGTCTCATGCTTTAGTTATAATCAGTGGGCGAGATGGCTCTACCGAGCTGACCTCACTTTGGCCATCACCAGAAGTCCACATTTGATATGTATTACATTTTATAATCCTTTTTCAGAAACAGACCGTCTTTGGGGCTAAGGGTCAGGACCATGTTAAAAGCCAAAGGGATGGGGGTTGGGAGGAGAGAAAGAGAAGTATAGGAAGGGCACATGTGAGCACATAAGACCTAAGTCATTCTTGCTATTCTTGACTTGATTATTGACTCCATTTTTTTTTTCCTTTTCAGGTTTCTATGGGGCTGTTACTAGCCCTGACTTAGGAGTGCATGAAATGAAAATTGGTCCCATCACCTTCCAGGTGGCCCCTGGAGATATTACTAAAGAAGAAGCAGATGTGATTGTTAATTCAACATCAAAGACATTTAATCTCAAAGCCGGTACTTTACTTTGGGATTTTTACTAGTATAATAGTCATAGTAGATCCCATGATGGAGGGTTCCTATAGCCAAACTATTCTACAGTTGCTATAGCCAAAATGGCTTCTACAGTTTTGTCTTATTAATATTAATTAATAATTTAAAAATTACTTGGATATGGTTTCTTATCATTGGTAGCAGTTATTGTAGGAATTTTTCTTCTTCGTGATCAGAAATACTCAGATTATAGGATTTCTTTGATGATGGGGAAAGCGTTTAGACAATGAGGCAATCATTCTGATCCAAATGTACTGTACTGATTTTTTTAATCCATGTTTGTGACCATGTTAATGTTCTCACATAGGAGTCTCCAAAGCAATTTTGGAGCAGGCTGGGAAAAATGTGGAAATGGAATGTTCTCGCCTAGGTAAGGCACAATGTGGGTTTTTAGTCCTAAATTATACGTGGAAGGCAGAATATGGAGGCTGTAGAGAGGCTGGGGATTGGGGAGATAATGTATTAATCTTAAAATCACATATTTTACTAAAGAATTCCAGTCATAGAGAATTAGAAATGAAAGGAAGTAAAAAGTGAAATCACAGTTAAAAAGAGAAGGTAAGCAAGAAACATTCATTAAAGGTATTTCAGCAATCTCTTATGAAGGTAAAATGCTTTATTTTCCAAACCAGACATTTTGTTTCCTGAATAACCAGAGAATGGGTTTAGCATCTGATTTTGCATCTTTTTGTTTTCTGTTTCTTAGCTCAACAGGGCAACAATGGTTATATAATTACTGAAGGTGGATTCCTGAAGTGTAAGAATATTATTCATGTCATTGGCGGAAATGATGTCAAGAGATCAGTTTCCTGTGTTTTGCAAGAGTGTGAAAAACGGAATTACTCGTCCATTTGCCTCCCAGCCATTGGGACAGGTTTGTTGCCTCTCAAGGCTAAATTCCTGGGTGTCCCCTTTCCCTTGGATTTGATGCTAGTGTGAATGTAGCTCTGCTGAGTCTGAGGAAGGACAGGCAGCTTCCTCACCCCAAGGCAGCCGCTAAGGGAATGAGCAAGGCCTGTGGGTGGCTTAAGAAAAAGAGGAAAAAATGAAAAAAACCAAAGAGAGTATTGGAATATTAGAGACATTTGCTCTCTGACATGGGGGAACGGGAGAGGGAAAGAGCGGAAGGGAGCCAATAGAAAGAAAGGCCATCCCTCTCTCTCTTTTCACCTGTTCCTTTCTCTTTTTTCCAGCCCCTACATATACCCCATTATTTAGCCCTTAGCTTCCTGCTCCGTCCCTCCTCCATGGTGAACATCAGTGTATTGACCTCTGCCCCCTGTAACTGACTGCCATGTGGGCATTTCCAGCCCTCTTCTCTCACCTCTTCAGCAGCGGCTAAGTAGGTTGGCTTGGGGCATCGCTGCACAGAAACCTATCAATCACCATAACTCAATGGGTTTTAATGGGTCAGAAACTTGCCACCTTCCTCTTTTCTGCCTCCTTGCCTCTTTCAAGTTTCCTGTTTTCCTCAAACTATGTAGTGATTGTGTGATTGATTCTGCATATATAAACATGGTAACCTGGGTAATAATTAGTAAGGTGATGCTCTGTGAGCTCTTTTCCCAGAAACCTGAGTCATGTGCATTGATCAGGAATTTTTGCTTAGTCTCCCTTAAGAAAGCTGGTCAGGAAAGGCAAACCCCCTCAGGCCTGAAGTGTAATGGAGCTGACTGGGCACTGGATTGATCATTCCATTGCTCAAGGATCTAAATTTGAATGTCTGCACTGACAGAGTTTAGCCTCCAAAGTTTAGTCTTGTCACTTTCTGGGCCTTCTAATCCTGTGTCCCATATTTTGACTTACGTAAATCTCTACCACTCCTCTTACTGTTCCCATGTGGAATGCTATGTCTGCTTTATTTTTTTATTTTTAAAAATATAATTTATAGCCTTTTAATGTTTTCATTACCCTGTAGTATCATCTAGTCCTAGCTGATTAGCCAGGATGTTATCTGCTTGTCTATCTATCTGTCATCTTTGATGGACACTCACTAATAACTCTCCAGTCTTTGTCTCCATTTGCTTTTTCCTCTTGCTCTGGTCTCGTGTTTCCACCTTCACTTTATTTGGGCCAAGAAAACAGGCAGCCCAGGTTTGGCATAGAGTTTCCCAAGGGAGTCCCTTGGGTGCAAAGAGGAGCAAAGAAATAAGGAGGTTTTGTATAAATATGTTCATACATTTGAGTAGTCTGGATTGCTGCAGACCTTTTGTTCCTTCCACTGACCTGGTGGCATTGCTGTTTTGCACAAATACTGCACGTTAGCAGGTTTACCTAGCTCTATCACTACCTGAGCTGGTCCTTAGACTACTGGATGGGGAAGCTTTTACCCTTAGCGGTGTTTATAAGTTGGGTTGACTGGGATCAAGACGGCTTCTGGCAGTAAAGGAAGCTCTCTACCTGTTACTCCCAGGTACCTGCCCTCAGGGGAGAGAATGGGTGGTCAGTGATTCCTGCAAGAACATCAAGGTCAATGCATATTCCAAACTCTAAACTCCAATTCACTGTCTTCTCTCCCAAACCTCCCTTTCCTGTTACATCCCCAATTATGTTAAAAACATCACTTTCTGTCTAGAATCCTTGACTCTACCTTCTTTATCACTGCCATGTTCATTTGCTTATTAATTAGTTTGATTGAATATTTTCCTAGTGTCTGTCATGTGGTAGGCACTGCAGAGGCATGGGGGGTAGAAAGATGACTAAGAAAAGGATCCAGTCCACAGGAGCACCTAGCCTGTCATGAGAGACAAGCATGTAAGACAACAATACAATACAGTGTACGTGTGGTAAATACAGGAAGCCAATGGGGGTGACAAAAGAGGTTGGGGGAGAGATCAAGGGTACACACAGTCAGTCACTAGATCCTGCTGAATTTACTTCTAAATGTCTCCTCGCCCCCTACACCCTCGGTCTTCATTCTGGCTCCCTTTCTTGTTCAGGTCTTGTCTTTTGCCTAAACTTTTGTTATAGCCTCCTATCTAGACCTGGGTTCTCTGCTCCAGTGCCTCCTGTCTCCACCACCTTCCCAACCCAGATTGATTTTTCTCAAAAACAGACCTATTTTCCTGAACACACCAGGTTGAAGTTGAAAGTATCACACCCTGTTACACCGTTCTAGGCTTTCCCTCAATTTCCGTACTTCACCTGTTGAACACCTGTCCCTCCTTTCATACCATATCTTTCGTGTCCTAAGTACCTGGATGAGCATATAGCTTTTGATGAGACACAGTAAATGTTTATAGAAAGTGAGTGAATATATCTAAATAGTCCAATTTAAATTTTTCCAAATATCATGAGATAACCACAGCTTTGCAAAGGAGAATTTTCTCCCTCTTTCCCTGCTCATCTAATTAAAACACCAACCAAACAGAAAACCTGAACAAATCCCCTTGGTTAGTTTTATATGGGGTTTGTTTACATTCCCACAATTGTCTGCATAGCCAAGTCAAAGAGCTCTGCTCTTATTCCTGAAATAATGGTGGGCACCATCAACGGGGATAATCTAAGAGAGACCTTAGTCTCTTGTACCGGGTTGGTCAGGGGACTTTTACATTGCTAACCACCCTCCCCCACCTTGTGACAGCTACCATTCTTATGGGACTTCTTACATGGTTTTCATGAGACTTTTCAAGGAACTTTGCATGATCTTACATAGGCAGTAGGTTGGAGAAACAAGGTATGGAGCATGCTTAATTAGGAAAGGACCTGCTCAGGTGGCAACCATGAACACTGCTGGTCAGCTAAAAGCTCAGCGGGTGTGGAAAGAAAGACTTCCTGGAGGCTCATGGCTAACCTGCATGTAAAAAAGTATATAGCTTATAGCTCCATGCGTCTTACAAAATTATCTTAGTGTAAATTAAGTCCCCCAAGACATCTGAGACAATAAGGATACATGTGTAAAGAAAGTGATGATTGAGCAAAAAAAAATTGTTATAATCTTTAAAAAGCATGATATTTCAACACATATTAATATTTTTTACTTTTTATGGGTATTTTGAGGACACCAGTGAGCCAAGAAAGACTAAATGTGCTTTGTACACAGAGGAACACGGAGGGATGGGATCCGCTGAGTAGAGCAGATATCAACATCAGACACCAAAAGTTAAATTTCTGGGTCCTTTGCTCATTGTTGGGCTGTTGGCTTCTTCACAAGGACTCTCCATTGCATCTAGGATTTCAAAAGTGTTTGCTGATGCATTGTTAGAAAAATCCGTGGAGATAAAAATATTTGGGGAGTGTGAATTCATTCTTGTGAGAATTAGAATCCCTAATTTATTCCTCAGCCTCTTCCAGTTGGGTCTTTTTTTTTTTCCTGGTCATTTTTATTTGTCTTTCCAGGAAATGCTAAACAAGACCCAGACAAGGTTGCTGAAGCCATAATTGATGCCATTGAAGACTTTATCCAGAAAGGATCAGTCCAGTCCGTGAAAAAAGTTAAAGCTGTTATCTTTCTACCTCAAGTACTGGACGTGTTTTATGCCAACATGAAAAAAAGAGGAAGCTCTCAGCCTTCTTCCCCACAGTCTGTGATGTCTAAAATTGCATGTGAGTTGTTGATTTTTATGCAATGCATGTTGCTAATGTTGATGTCACATGAGAAATAGCTAAAACTATAAATGATTTTTTTGCAGTAGTTCGCTAGCTCCACCAGTTTTATTGAGATATAATTGACATACATCACTGTATAAGTTTAAGGTATACAGCATAATGGTTTGACTTACATATATTACTGCAATATGTTTAGTTAGCATCCATCTTCTCACACAGTTACAATAAAAAGAGAAGGCAAAAAGAAAAAGAAAAGATTTTTTCCTTGTGATGAGAACTCTTAGAATTAACAGCTTTCATACATATCATACAGCTGTGTTAACTATAATTATCCCCAGTACCTATTTATCTCCTAACTGGAAGTTTGTACCTTTGACCACCTTTCAGCAATTCCCCTTCCCCCAACCCACCTCTGGGAACCACAAATTTGATCTCTTTTTCTATGACTCTGGGTTTGTTGTTGTTGCTTAGATTCCACGTGTAAGTGAAGTTTTATGGTATTTGTCTTTTTCTGTGCGACTTGAAAAGGCTAAATCTTAATAAATATCAGAAAGAAAAATTAAGAAAACAGCCACATTTACGATTGTATCAAAAAGAATAAAATACCTAGGAATAAATTTAACCAAAGAGGTAAAAGACCTGTACACTGAAAACTGTAAGACACTGAAGAAAAAAACTGAAAACACAAATAATGGAAAGATATTCTGTACTTATGTATTGGAAGAATTAGTATTGTTAAAAAATCCCTACTTCCTGAAGCAACCTTCAGAGTCAGTGCAATCCCTACCAACATTCCAATGGCATTTTTCACAGAAATAGAACAGGCAATCTTAAAATTTGTATGGAACCACAAAGACCCTGAGTAGCCAAAGCAATTTTGAGAAAGAAGAACAAAGGTGGAGGCATCACACTTTCTGATTTCAAAGTCTATTTCAAAACTATAGCAATCAATACAGTATGGTATTGGTATAAAAATGGACACATAGATCAAAGGAAGAGAGTAGAGGACCCGGAAATAAACCAGTGCATTTTATTAAATTACAACAAAAGAGCCAATAACATACAACAGGAAAACGATAGTCTCTTTAATAAATAGTGTTGGGTGCTCTCTTCAGGAGCACATACGCTAAAATAAGTGGTGTTGGGGAAACCGGACAGCCATGCAAAAGAATAAAACTGGTCACTATCTGACACTACACACAAAAGTACACTCAGAATGGATTAAAGACTTGAATGTAAGACCTGAAACCATAAAACTTCTAGAAGAAAATATAGGGGGTAGGCTTCTCAACATCAAAGGTACAGACAGCAAAAGCAAAAATAAAGAAGTGAGACCACATCAAACAAAAAAGCTTCTGCACAGCAAAGGAAACCATCAACAAAATGAAAAGGCAACTGACTCGATAGGAGAAAATATTTGCAAATCATATCCCCGATAAGGGGTTAATATAAAAAATATATGAAGAACTCATATAAGTCAATTGAAAAAAACGAATAATCCAATTTAAAAATAGGCAGAGGACATGAATAGACGTTTTTTCCCCCAGAGAAGACATATAGATGGCCAATAGGTACACGAAAAGGTGCTCAACATCACTAATCATCAGGGAAATACAAATCAAAATCATAGTGAGATATCATCTCACATGTTAGAATGCTATTATGGAAAAGACAAGAAAAGTGCTAGAGAAAAGGGAAGCTTTGTCCACCACTGGTGGGAATGTAAATTGGTGCAGCCACTATGGAAAACAGTTTGGAAGTTCCTCAAAAAATTAAAAATGTAGCTGCTACATGATCTAGCAATTTCACTTCTGGGTATTTATCTGAAAGAAATGAAATCATTATCTCAAAGAGTAGCTGCACCCTTATGTTTATGGAAGCATTGCATAGCCAAGACACAGAAACAACCTACTGTCTGTCATCAAATGAATGGATAACAAAGATGTGATATACACACACACACAGGGTGGGGCAAATCACAGGCATGAGTTGTGAAACAGAGTTTATTCTTGTATTATTATTTATTGTATTATTTTTCATACAAACAATTGAAAGCTTACTTTTGCAATACCTTGTATATAGGATGGAATATTATTCAGTCACAAAAAAGAAGGAAATCCTGCCATTTGCAACAATGCAGATGGAACTTGAGGGCATTGTAATAAATGAAATAAGAGAGAAAGACAAATAATGTATGATCTCTCTACTACAGGAGTACTCTAAAAAATTATAGCTCATAGATACGGAGAACAGATGGGTGGCTATCAAAGGTGGGGTGGTAGGGGATGGGCAAAATGGGTGAAGAGGGTCAAAAGGTACAAACTTTCAATTATAAGATAAATAAGTCCTGGGGATGTGTTATACAGCACAGTGACTAAACAAGAAAAAAGATGGAAAGAAGGGAGGGAGGAAAGCAGGAAGGAAAAGAGAAGTAACTAATAGTTAATTTTTTTTAATCCAAACATTTGTTGCATTCCCTTTCTTCTCTTCTTTAGCATTTTTTGGCCTCTCAAAACCAACCCCTAAAAAACAAAAGACTTTGGTTTTGGAAAATAAAACAGAATCAGCAATTTTTCAGGTGTGTGGTGAAAACGAAAAATGTGTGGATAATGCCCTCTCCTTGATACAGGATCTGATTAAAAACAAACAGAGTCTTTATACCAGTGAAGAGGAATGTATCAAAGACTTTGATGAAAAGGAACATCAGGAATTGATTAAGCTGCAGAAGAACCTGAATATTGCCATATGCTTGGACACTCAAAGACCTTTGATTGAGGTCACAGGACTTAGCAGAGATGTGGAACAGGCTAGAAATGCAATTGAGGAAATGATCAAGACAGTTAGAGTAGCCAAAGAGCAGGAATCCAGAGCAGACTATGTCAGTGAATTTGTAGAGTGGCAATATAATGACAATAACAGTTTTCATCACTTTGACAAAATAACCAATCTGCAATTGGAGGAAGCAAGAAAAAGACACGAAAATACAGTTAATGTTGAAATTAATAATCAGAGATACACTGTGGACTTGAAAGCATACACCGCTACCGATGCAAAGGGACACAGTTTACCTCTTCAGCGCTTCACAAAATCTGAAGGTGAGTCGAAGCTTCATGCTTGTAATCCATTATTTTACACTTCCTTTGGGCTTACTCTGTTGTACGTACATCAAAACTGTATTCAAGTAGGCAAAATTCAAGTAGCCCTTACAGAATAAGATAGAACACTTTGTCTTTGAGCTGAAAGCTTATATTATGGCTGGGAAAATACAGCATAGGTGCCCCACAGCCTGAGGATGACCATCTTAGTGGTAACACTAGCCAAAACTTGCATATTTACAGTTTACAAGCTTCCCAGAGCCAGTTTTTCTGGGAGGTGATGGCTGCTTCAATTAGGAGAGGGAAAGCCATGAGCTTCAAAGGAAAGTGACCCACTGTTTTTTAGAACAAAAGGGAGAGGACAGCCTAGGCAGAGACTGGGCACTTTCTGCATCTGTGATTGACACCCAGAGAGGATCGGGAGCCCATAGGATCTTCTCCCAGAAGTCACTCTCTCCCCTGCCCTGAAAATAAGGTTCCTTGACGTACACATCGGGAAGCAGCCTTCAGATTCTCTGGCTGGATCTGTTTCCCAAAAAGGGAATGCTTGTCCTCTGAAAACTAGTAAAAATGGCTTCCCTTCCAGTACGTTCCCTTCATCTCTTGTGAGATCAGTGTGAATGAACTCTTCAGACCCTGGGCAACCCTGGAGAACTGAGAAGTCAGGAATGATATTCTGTTTAGCAGAAGGGGAGACAGAGCTGCCACCACAAGCTACCACATAGCAAAACCCGCCACCCACTCAACTCTTAAGGATGTTGTGGAGAATAATGAAAGAACAGATGTGGAGGGCCTTTCAGTGGGGACTTCTGGCAAAAACCCATGCACTTGTAAATAAGACAATGGAGACTATTTAAAACGTTGTAGGGAAATAATTTATTGTTAAGTTATTGACTGAGCAGGATACGCAGCTGAGTCACCCTGTGCCAGCAGTTCTCAATTCCGAGCATGATCAAAACTCGTTAAGATGTAGGGACACATGTTCCAGCCCTCAGAGATTTTGATATGCTATATCTAGGGGGGTTTTTTGTTTTTGTTTTTGTTTTTAACAAGCAGCATGGTTGGCTCTGTGGTTGTCTGTGTTCATGCTGGAAAAACATTCTCCTAGAAAAGCCAAACAATTGTCTTGAATACATTGAATTAAGAAATTGTAAAATAAGAACACAAGTGATACTCAGTTTTTCAAAGCGTATCAGGAAGGTGGACTGCGTAGATGAGTGTTACTGGGTGGAGAATATCCTCAAATGTCTCCTTTGCAGTTGAGATCCCTGCTCACTGGAGTGATATGAAGCAGCAGGATGTCTGTCTGGTTGAGCTACAGCCTGGTCATGCAGAATACGACAAAGTGGCAAACGCATTTAATCAGACCTGCTCACAATTCAGTATAAAGAAGGTAAGCCTTCTGCTGGCGTGGAGTTTCTTAATGGTAGAAGAAAGGGATACCAGGGCCCTGGATAAATGCACTTTGATTCATTTTCTAACATATTTTTAACCCAGAATTAGAATATTTTATGGTAATTAGATTTTAGATTCTAGATTCTACTTATGTCTCTGTAATTACTGAGACATTAAGACTGAAATTCTTGTGTCAGTTATTACAATATGATAAATTGCAATATGATATTAGAATGTTAAAGACACATATTTCCTTTGTGAAGCAAGCTAATCAAAATTCAGAGATACAGCTTTAAAGTTGGAGTTGTTGAGTAGCAAACCACCACAAAGAGACACACGAAGGCTTCTCAGGTTAGGGTCACGTGCCTCTGCTTTGCTGTTCACAGATCAACACATCAACAGTGCTTGTTTTCTAGGAAATCCAATGGTCCTTTCATTGTTTATCTCATTTATTTTGGCATCTTTCACTCTTAGAAATTAATATTGGTCTTTGAAATTTATGTTCTTTCTTGGTTCCTGTGGCAATATTATTTTGATGCTTTCTTCTTAATTAAATCCCTCTTCCTTATCAGTGGTAAATGTTTCTCTTCTAAACCTCTAATCCTAGCTTTACCCGCAGGATTTATACCCTCAGGTCTTGTGTCTCTGCACTTCACCAGGGAATGTTTTTACCATTCTTGAATGCAACTATTATTTCTAATGTTAATAGCTCTTAAATCAGCATATCACCAGTGTGGATCTTTGACTCCAGCTGTGGAGCATATTCTCAGTAGCCTAAAAAAAAAAAAAAAAAAAAAAATCTCCACTTGGTTTCTCTCTGCTAGGTCAACTTCCCTAAAACCTAATTAATCATCTCTAAGTAATTGTCTTTCCCCTTCCTTCTCCTTTCCATCCTTAGTTCCACCACTGAGTAAAGCTAGAGATTTGAGTACTTTCTCTTTATCTATAATAATGAGTGTGCCAATAAAGTCTGCATTTTTCTTTCTTTGCAAACTTTCTGTTTTTACTGCCACCATTCTCTTTATTCATGTAGTTAAGCACTTAATAATTCAAAAAAGATTTTAAGTGTCCAAAAGATATATAACGTACCTTCAGATAAAATAAATAAATGAAGAAAAATGGACAAAGAGAAAAGGCAAATAGGGAGAATAAGATAACACAGAAGTATTGTTATTTCATAAAAATATATAACATGAAACCGTAGATAGTTACTAGAGGAGGACCACCAATTTGTCCTGGAGCTTCCTAGTAGACAAAGCAAAGAAGTAAATAACCAGCTACAAGATTCATAATATTGTCCACAAATCAAAAAGCAAACCACTTGATCAGGAGACTCACAGCCTTTCATAGTACTGAGACTGACTCCTGAGAGATTTATTCTGTGAATCAAGTACTGGAGAATATCTTCAAAATCATCCTCACAATACATTAAATATCAAATTTTATACCACTTAAAAAAAATCTCTCAATGTAAACCAGTTGAGCAAAAACAATTCTGTGAGGTAGTAAGACAAAGTGATTCAACTATGATCTGGTTCTGAGATGACAAATAAGTTTCATTCCAAATACCATCTGATGGCAGCCGACTGGCACATTGTGATGAGATGCCGAGCCCCCCAGCAGGGCGGTCCGGTTGGCCAGCAGTGTCTGCAGTGCCCTGGAGGCTTGCCCTGTGTTGTCAGGCCTTGACCGGAGAAATGATTTCACTACTCTTTTGTAGCAGAACCTTTTTTTCAAATAAAATTTTATGTGAGATCTTGGTGTATGACACCAATAAAAGCAGAGCTAGGTAGTACTTAAGGCACCTCTGTGGAGGTCTCTAATTATGTGAAAACATTTACATGAAAAATGGATGGTCTGTCATCCTCCATGACTCTTATGTCTTGTGAGTACAATTTTTAACATCTATAAACTTCCACCTGGATTCAAAGATTTTGCCATGTTTGCTTTTTCTCCCTTACTCTCAGTTTTTGCTGAAGCATTTGAAAGTAAGTTGCAGACATCATGACACTCCTAAATATTTTAGCACATACCTCCTGAGAATACCATTGTCCCATGTAAGAAAATAACATTAACTCAGTAATTTCCAATATAGTATCCATAGTCATATTTTCCCAGTTGCTCAAAACATTTTTCTTTTAATTCTCACCGACCCCATCCCTAACCCAGTTTCAGACACTGCATTTGGTCATTTTTTTCTCCTTCATCTCTTCTGATCTGGAATAGTACTCACATTACTGCACTTTAAAAAAAATATTTTTATGATACTGAATTTTTTAAAGAGTTTAAGCCAGTTGTATTATAGAAAGTCTCACATTCTGGTTCTGTCTTGCCAGTTGTTTTCTTTTTTTTTTTTTGAGAACCCAAGCCAGTTTTCTTATAAGAAACTGGTTCTAGATTTGTCTGATTCTTCATACTGTCATTGAATTTATTTCTCTATCTTCTTTATTTCTGGTAAACCAGAAATTAGGTTGGAGGTCTTGGTTAAATTCAGATAAATATTTTTTGTAAGGAAATTTCATTAGTGATACATCACATGAAGCCTCAGATGGTAAGGTTGTTCCACTACTAATGAGGCTAAGTGTGATCACTAGTTAGAGTGGTGTCCATCGTCTCTTTCAATTGGAATCAGTTGGTAATCTGTGGGATGATACTCTAGTCACATTGTAGTCAGTACCCTGTTCCCCAGCAATCTTTTATGGATTAACTATAACACTTATTGATGATCCTTTCCTAAATACATTTTTACAGTGAAGGTTGAAAGTGGTAATATTTTAGTCCTCTCATTTCTTCTATATTTTTTATCTGGCATTTTTGTAAAGAGGAAATTTTCTTACCTCTTGCTTTAAAAAAATTCCGTATGTTATACTTAATTATAGTGGTTATTCTTTTAGATGCACAAGTTAATTTGGCTAGTAGGGACCCTTTCAAATAGGCTCTGATGTCCCTTTGATGGCCCCGTTAATCTTTCAACATTTTTTCTCTTTCTGGCCCCATTAATCTTTCAACATTTCTTCACTTTCTGGCAAAGATCTCTTCAGCTCACTTTGTACTTTCCCTGTCTCAGGCTGGAGTCAGACATTTCTCTAAGAAATCCTGATTCCTTTCAGTGGGGATTAGTAGTGAGAAAAAAAAGGGCTGTGAATTGGATGTGTTCACTGCTACTGAGGTGTTATTGCTTCTAGGGTCTTGTGTGGCTAGAACTAAGAAAACCAAGAGTTCATAGGGTGTTTTCAATTAAAATGTAATATTATTGTAGGTCTTTTTCTTAATTTTTTAATTTTGTATTTGTCTCTTTTCCTGTACAATAGAAATTTTGGTTCCTAATAATATTACATATTTACTTATTTGTTTTATCTTATAGAGTACATATAATTTTTTCAAAATTATAGTACCAAAATTATTATTAGCAATATTAAAATAGTTATGCCAGGTTTCTTTTGGTTATTGTTAGCATCTTAACCCTTTTTATTTTAACCTTCTTATAACTGTATATTTAAGATGTATCTCTTTTTTAAAAATTTATTATTGTTGAAATACAGTGGTCTCCATTTTCCCACCACCACTTTCCCTTGCCCCACCCACCCTCAATCCTTCCCCACTTTGGCTTTGTCCATGGGTCCTTTATACATGTTCCTTGACCTGATCCTTCCCCTTCTTTTCCCAGTTACCCTCCTCCCTCTGCCCCTCTGGTTACTGTCAGTTTGTTTTTTCTTTCAATGTTGCTGGTTATATTTTCCTTCCTTGTTTGTTTTGTTGATTAGGTTCCACTTTTAGGTAAGATCATATAGTATTTGTCTTTCACCACTTGGCTTATTTTACTTGGCATAATTCTCTCCAGTTCCATCCATGCTGTTGCAAAGTGCAGGAGTTCTTTCTTTCTGCTGTGTAGTATTCCATTTTGTAAATGTACCACAGTTTTCTGATTCACTCATTTATTCATGGGCACTTAGGTTGCTTCTAGAACTTGGTTGTTGTAAAATTGCGCTGCTATGAACACTAGGGTGCATAAGCTCTTTTGAATTGGTGTTTTGGGATTCTTAGGGTATAGTCCCAGCAGGGGAATTGCTGGGTCAAAGGGCAGTTCCATTTTTAGATTTTTGAGGATATTCCAAACTGTTTTCCACAGTGGCTGCACCAGTCTGCATTCCCACCAGCTGTGTACTAGGGTTCCCTTTTCTCTGCAACTTCGCCAGCATTTGTTATTTGTTGATCTGTTTATGATGGCCATTCTTACCAGTGTGAAGTGCTAGCTCATTGTGGTTTTAATTTGCATTTCTCTGATGACTAGTCATGCTGAGCATCCTCTCATAAGTCCCTGGGCCCTGTGTATGTCCTCTGTGGAGAAGTGTCTGTTCGGGCCCTTCTCCTATTTTTTAATTGGATTGTCTGTCTTCCTGGAGTGGATTCATGTGAGTTCTTTATATATTTTGGAGATCAAACCCCTGTCCGAGGTATCATTGGCAAATATATTTTCCCATATGGTTAGTTCCCTTTTCGTTCTGCTGCTGTTTTCTTGAGCCGTGCAGAAGATTCTTGTCTTGATGAAGTCCCATTTGTTTATTCTTTCCTTTATGTCCCTTGATCTAGCAGACATATCGGTGAAAATATTGCTGCATGGGATAACTGAGAGTTTCCTGCCTATGTTTTCCTCTAGGACTTCCATGGTGTGGGGACTTATATTTAAGTCTTTTATCCATCTTGAGTTTATTTTTGTGTATGCTATAAGTTGGTGGTCGAATTTCAGTTTTTTGCGTGCAGCTGTCCGGGTCTCCCAACACCATTTGTTGAAGAGGCCATATTTTACTCCATTATATGCTTCTGCCCCCTTTGCCCAATATTAATTGACCATAAAGACATCGGTTTATTTCTGGGCGCTCTATTCTGTTCCATTCATCCATGTGTCTGTTCTTATGCCAGTACCAGACTGTTTTGGTTACAGTGGACTTGTAATATAGTTTGAGGTCAGGTATTGAGATCCCTCCTACTTTGTTCTTC